TTCTTGGCTCTCAAACCAGGAAATTACACACGAAGACACCTGGGGAGACTTCGGAGTGCGCACTTGCCGAAACGACCGTTAGGATTAACCGATTCGCCAATAGGGGACGAGTACGATTTCCGAGGCGCCCAGATTTGACTGTGGTTTCTGGTAGTATTTCTTACGCTGAACAAAAAATTATATAGGTCTTATAGGGCTAACTGTTCTAGATATAACTGTTCTGAATATAAAATACGATAATATATTATATCTAATAATTAAAACAAGTAAAGATTTATATTATATTTATTTTCAGCTTTAATACTGCATATCTCGAAAACTAGAGCAGTTAGCGCTATAAGACCTATATAATTTTTTGTTCAGCGTAAGAAATACTACCAGAAACCACAGTCAAACCTGGGCGCCTCGGAAATCGTACTCTCCCCGCCAATAGTTACGGGAAAAGAAGGCTATGTATATTTAGATTTAGCTTTATGTAATGTGTAGGCAACGCGCTGAGGATGACCCCAAAAAAGGGTTGAAACGTACGTATTGTAATTGACATTTGATTGACATTTTATTAAAAAGATTTTAGCGAAGATAATCTACGCTTGGCTCTTATTGCCTAATTGTGTTTAATATTAAAAAATGCTACCAATATAATGATATTTTACACACAAGCAGATCATCTCAACAAACAAAAATATGACAATAAAATTTGAAACAATTTACAAAAAATTTTTTTCAAGAAAAATAGTAGTAACATTTATTTACAGTTACTAAATCTACGTCTTTTACATTCTATTAGAATTGCCGTAATTATTTATATACATTTTTTTTATTCTGGATCCCTAGAGAATTAATATCAGTATTTTTAATATTTCCTGCATGACCTTGATGTAATTGGACCGGTACCTGCAGGACATCCTTAAGAATGTCCTGAGATATTTTAAATTTTGTCATGATATATTTAAATATAAAATATGAAATATCTCGTAAAGTATTCCTCTTCGATGACTTTACCTTCATACTTTAAACGTAGAATAATAAAATTTTGTAACATTAAATGCGTCCACAAATACAATCAAATTTTTGAAAATAATGTTTTCTGTTTCTTTTTTACAACAGTCGATTTTTTTCATTATCCTATGTATCAAAGTAAAGTCATCAAAAAGTAAATACTTTACGAGATATTTCATATTTTATATTCAAAATATCGTGATAAAATTTAAAATATCTCAGGAAATTCTTAACGAAAAAGAATTTTATTACAGTGTTTTGAAAACGTCTTAACAAGGGCTACAAAAATATCCAATGAAAAATAGAGGGTCCTATTTAACAAATTGAAGGTAACCTTCACGTGACCTTCAAACGACTACCCAAGATCAAATCATTACAACTATCTTTTACTATCTTTTGTCTGAAACATTTTTTTTAACTACGTGATATTGAGATATTTTACTGTTCAAATTAAAACAGGACACCCTGTGTCATATTTATGTTTGTCAATACTCAATGAACCTATTTTTCAAACTTCTTTTGTTAATAACTTTCTAATAAACGAACGACAGCTAAAACCTTTTGGAGATTATTCAGGAGGGTGATCTTCATTAGAGGTATCTCCTCTAAACGAGAATTTAATCTAAAATTTTTGTAGAAGCTCAATGCTGTACAAAATTGTATATATAATTTTTTATTATGATTTTAATCAAGTTTAAATTAGAGAAAAATCTAAATTATAGAAAATTATAGAATTTATAGCAAACTTTAATAATACTAAAGTAATATTTAATCTTAATCACACTTTGCAATTATGTAAAAAAAATTCACAAATTATAATAGTGCAAAAATCTCTATTACCAGTACTAGTGTGATATAATGAAGATTTCCTGTGGTGTGGAAGTGTTGATCCTCTAAGGTGAGTTGGTAACAGTCGCGATGGTAGATAAGCTCTATTCATCCTAGCTTCTACCTCCATTACCAGTTCCGGGTTTATAACTACATGCATATTACCAACCAAGGACAGCACGGTAGTGCAGTGGGCACAAAAAAACATGCAAAATAAAAAATAAAACTCAATAAAATATAAATAATGTGCAAATGCTAAAAAAAAATAAGGATTAAGGTACAATAGGCACAATATAAAAATATAAAAGCTTGTAAACTTAATCAAATTAATTTCGCGCGTGTGCGTGCGCGTGTGCGTGCGCGAGTGCGTGCGTGTGTGTGCGTGTGTGTGTGTGTGTGTGTGTGTGTGTGTGTGTGTGTGTTTGTGTGTGTAGTTAGAAAAATAATCCTATAAAATCGTATAAGTTGGTAAAAAATTTGGAAATATTAAGATGTTCCGCATCGCATGGATCGTATGCCACACTCATCTTTCCGTTTAGATCACTTGACATTTCTACTATCAAGTTTAACATTATCATAAAAACATATATTTATGTATAAATATATGTTTATATTATACCATATAGTATATATGTATTTCACCGTGGATTACATGCGTTCTTATTAATAATAATAATGATTTTTGCAATCTTATAGATATTATAAAACATATGTGTGTGTGTACTATTAATCTGAATAACGTGAGGCATATGCGATCTATGCGACATAAACGAGAAATTTAATGAAAATTAAAAATCTATCCGGCACAAAATGTATTAGAGTTAATATAATTAGTGGCCTGCTGTAACATGGTGAGTTATCTAATTGCTGAATGTCAGTGAAAAATAATAATAGAAAGCTACAATTACTTTCTAACTTTAAAATTGGTATGTATTAACGTAATTCAAATAGTTAATAACTTTTAATTACTAAACACTTGTAGTTGGACAGAAATTTTATATATTGACTTGAATGCAGACATACTATTTCAGATTTGATTCTCCAACACATAAGCGTCCCTATCACATTCTTCTTCTTCTTCTTATATTTTGACCGTCAAGCAATACTGCTCAAAATAAAGGCCAGGGCGATCCATTCGTCGTATAAGTCGCGAGCGGCGTAAATTACCAAGGTTCTAGGCCTCGAAAGGCGCCGATGCAAGAGCCACAAACTCCGTCGATACGAGACACCAAGTGGTGCAATAACAACTGTCGCGAGCGTCCCGCGGCTGAGCTTGGCGTAATCGAAACATAACGGGCCCCCTCTCCTACGCACAGAAGGAGGGACCAAGGAAAACTATGGCTGAAAACCCATTGATTGGGTTGCCGTAGAAAGGAGTCGGATAAACTGATGAGTAGGATCACTCAAAAAAAGGATATCCTTGGGAGCGTGCAGAAAAACTTTCTCAATGTACTTAATTTAATAGGAAGCTTTACACGAGTATATACGACAATTAAAAACGACGTAATTTATGTCTTGAATAGGGTGGCCGCAAGGGCCCCCGAATCTATTATGTTTTTCCTTGCTAAGCTATGATTCAAGTTGTAGTGACCACTGCGCAGCCTATTTATTAACACTATTTCCTTTCTTTTAAAAGGTTTTTTGTAAAAGGAGGGGCGATTTTTGCTGTTATGAAAAAGATTGTAGAACGGAATACCCTTATTCGAATCACAACAACGCAAGTACTCTGCGAAACGCTTTCGAAGGGACTCTCTGGAGAACGAATAGAAATCGCTGTGCGGGACTTTGAAATTAGGACTCTTTTCTCTTTTAGTAGCTACTTTAGCCGCCCTGTCCGCTCGAGTTCATTGCCCTCGATACCACGATGCGAGGGAATCAAGGCTAGACGTATATCTACACCTTTAGTGGAAAGCTGCGAAATTTTTTCCCTTATCCAGGGAATAATATAATTTTGCTAGTTGGCTCTACTTGAACATACGTTTTCAAGCTCTTGGAGTCAGAGAAGATAACTACTCTGCGAAGGACTATCTGCCCAATAAAAATTAATGCTTGAAGGATTGCCCATGTCTTAGCCAAAAAAATTGTTGTTTTCGGAGGAAGCTTATGCATAACTTTAATTTTAAATCCGGTGAGTAGATTCCGGCACCGACGAATAAACTAGGGTCTTCCTTGGAACTATCAGTGTAGAAGGTCGTGGCTCCTTCTCTAAGGATTTTAGAGTCCTCCAAGAAAATGGAATTAATATTAGGCATATCTGGAGGAAAATTAAACGCAGTGTAATGAATGTCAATGATAAGAGAATTAAAGCTGTGGCTAAAAACAGGCAGGGATGCGGATTGATAGGTTTTTTCGATTTTGTTTAGTATGGAAAGGAAGGATCTATAAGATGGAATAGAGTTTGTAACCATTTCGTGATTATGGCGTGATCTAGTTAGCGGATGTATATTGTCAAGACTGATGACTGGGCTGAATTCCTAGGCAACGTTTTTGAGAACCATTTTGGAGGTCAGATACTTGAGCCTGTACTGTAGCGGTGGTTCTTTAGCTTCATCCAGCAAAACATTGATGGAAGTGGACTGTCGATAGCCGTATGCAATCCTGATAGCTTTATACTGGATGCGTAGAATCTTTTCGAAGATGGTGAAGTTGCCTTGAAGTTGGTAAACCTAGCAGCCGTAGTCTATGGAGCTACGGACAATCTCCTTATAAATCATGTCCAATTGCTACGGGTGAGCGCCCCACCAGACACCTGCTAGGCCTTTATAATATTTAAAGCCTTTCTACATTCACCGATCACAGTTGTAAAGTAGGGTTTGCCACTGAGTCTGAAGTTTAAGAGGATGCCCAGAAATCTTACAGTTTCGCTATATTGTATCGTGTTACTCATGATGACTACCTCAGGAATAATTGTAGGCAATTTGTCTTATGCGTAAAGATCACGGATTGTGACTTAGACGGAGAGAGCGCCTTTGCTGAGAAGAAAATCAGTAATTCTTTGAGTAGATTCGTTGATGAATCGAACAGCGAACAGCTCTTCGAAGTTTTTATTGGCTGAGTAAATAACCACGTCGTCAACGTACAGCAGAATTTGGCAGTCCGGATTGATGAGTTTTATGATATCTTTTATATATCCTTGTGGAGTGCCCTTCCTGGCATACATAGGGCCGAATTTTTGGCCGCTCTTAATGTAATAGATGAGCCTGTTACTAATTAAGTTCATTACAAACTTACGGAATCGAGCAGTAACTTTAGCTTTGCTGAGATCCTTATCCAGGATGTGAGGAAGAACATTGTCGAACGCTCCATCGATATCAAGAAACGATGCCACCGTGTGAACACCCTTGAGAAATCCGGCCTTGATATAATTTGTTAACGCTACTATGCTGTCCATACAGGATCTAGCGTTACAGAACCCAAATTGCACATCTGACAGTATATCGTTATATTCCAAATGTCACCTAAGACGGTTATACATGCATTTTTCCATAACTTTCAAAACGCATGAGTTAAGTAAAATAGACCTGACGCCCTTCCCACCGGGCTTGGGTATAAAAATTACCAAGAATGTGCGCCAGTCTTCGGGAAATGAGCCACTTACTAGAAAACCATTAAAAATGTCCCGAAATTTACACCAGAACATGTCAGGGAGAGTAGATAGAATGGTTTAATCAAGTTGATCCAGATCAGGCGCTGATTTAAGCTTAGAGGTTTTAAGTGGCGCCTTAACTTCTTGCATGGAGATAGGGCCGTCCAGTCAGGAAGACAGGTGCTCCGTATTTGAGGCATCCATCTCCAACATTTCAGTCAACGAGGGGTCGTTGGGTGAACAGGAGGAAGGTCACAGTTTGTTAACAGCAGCTTAAATTAATTCTTTCTCCCTCAACGTATCGTTAGTAGACTGAGTGGCTTGATCTCTTCTTTTGAATGATTTGATGAATCTACAAACCTGATTGGGCGTCTTAGCGCTAAATTTTGTGCAGAGGTTCTTTCAACCTGCGGACCTTTTGCTTTTTAAGAACCCGTCTTGCAACAGCGATAGACCTGTTATATTCCATTAAAGTTTCCAGAGTGTAATAATTCTTGAAATTTTTTTCGGCTGTTCTACGAGCCTTGACAGCCGCCTCGCACTCTTCGTTCCACCAGGCCGGATGAAATTTGCTTTTGATGGGAGAGTCCGAAAATTACTTTTTCCCAGAGCGTTAGTTATGCACAATTTAATAATAGTCATATTTGACTATAAGTCTCAGTAGCATCGTTGACATTGATGTTATTTACATTCTGTACGTCTTTTTCAATAGAGACGCTAAAGCTTCAAGCGAGTCCTTATTAAACTTAAGCCTGTGGATGAATTTGTGTTTAGGATCCATGTAGTCGTGCGAGTGTTCGAGTCATTATCGCGTAAAAATCAGCTGTGTTTTCAGTTTTACTCCCCTCCGCTCCGCTCGACTCCGATGAGGCCGCGGGGGGTAGGAGCTGAAAGGAGACTGAGCGCGGTCTCCCGAAGGAAAACCGCCAGTGTGTAACGGAGCGATCGTCACTAAAGCATCTATTGCTATACTTTCGTAATACCGCTTCTGGTTCGGCGTATCCGCTAGTTACGCGAAAAGGCGCATAGCGCTTTGCTTTGCCCGCGATTCTCTTTATGTATGTTGATAATAAACTTGTTAAGTTATACCAAAGGGTCTTAAATTATTGATACAGTCCACTCTAACCAATCCGTGTAAGGACGATAAGACGTTCCTGTCTTAGACGATAAGCGAACATTTTGTCCTTCGAGCCGGATCTATTCCGATCGAAGGCCTCGCTCTTCGCGAGTGTACTCAATAAGCTAGTAATTAACTCTCAGAGCCACGTGGCTCAAAATCGAACGACTATAACGGTCATCAAGCAGCCTGACTTCGGACACGTGCTTCGTGCGTGTGAGCCAGTGTCGGCCGCGTATTCCGCGCGTGTTAGTAAGCAATTCCGGGCGCGCGCTCTGCGCGTAATAGAAGGTGTTACTCATTGTGGCCCGCGACAAGGTCCGTGCTTCCCATGGCTGGCCACGAGTAATTCTCACTCGGTGAGACAAAGAAATGAAGATTGCTCTCAAGCAACAGACAATGCTCTCCGGCTATATAAGCCTCATGTGGAGTAATCTGCTAAAATTA